TTTGTTTTGGTAAGTGTGTGTATGCACAAGTATATATGTTATTAAAATTTCGTTACTTGAGCAACAGTTAGAAATGGAATTTCGTACATGAATGCCTGTTGCTTACTTTTATGTAAAAACACCAGTGAATATGTGCTTTTGCAGAAAATAAAGCAACCAGCGGAGTGGGACGTACACACTCACTTACTATATCTACGAATAAAAATTATATTTTCATTGTATGTTCTTATGTTTCGGAAAGGAACCTTTCATATTTGTTGTATATGGTATAAGTATAAATATGACTTTAATTGACTGACATATCCAATGACATTAAAAAAATGTTATGGAAACTGTTATTTAATATTTAATCGTTATTTGGCAACAGTGAGTTTTCTTCAAAGTAGGAATTTAAATCAATGTCTTTAAAACTGAAAATACTTATTCCAGATGCATATGTGAACCATTAATCATTTTAAGGAATTAATAGTACCAGTGAGAGAATTTAGTAATACCGAAAAGCTACTGAAATGAGAAAAGAGTATTATAAGAATTAATAGTAAATTAATAAATTTGGAGAATATAACAGATGTGGCAAATCTTCTAAATTATGAAGATGACGTGGCAGCAATTATTACCGACCACGATACTTAATTAGTGCAAAGAAAACTCACACAAGCACGCATGGCGTACAGCTGGGTACTCATAAAACGGAGATAATGCTATTAACTTGAAAGCATATAAATACGAAAATAGAGATGCGAGTAAATAATGATGATCTGAGAATCCAAAAAATGATTAATTTGTTAGAATAAGGTCACAGCTGCCTTAAGCAAACTAATGGCTAAGACGGGAGAACCTGTTGCGGAAAAACGGAAATTGCTGATGGCAACAGTAAACACCATCCTTTTATATGGCAGCGAAGTATGAGCAGAGACACTAGATATCGAAACACACAGAAAAAAATTAATAGCGGTGCATAGAAGGGTGGATCTACGTACCACAGAAACAGTAATAGCAGGTGTGACTAATAGCAGGTGTAGCAGGATTGATCTTCAGGCAAAGAAGCGCCAAAGAGTATACAATAAGAAAACAGCCGACTACTGTACTCAACAATTGGTAAGAGCAGATCAGGAGCAAACCATCGAATGTGGCAACAAAGCTGGAATAATACCAGTCAAGGAAGAAGGACAGCTAGGCCTGGCTCCAACGTAAATCGAGAGACACAAATTACTATCTTACTCAGATGCTGACCGGACAGACATGGATATTTTTGCAAGTATCTGTACCGCATGGGAAAGGTAGATCTACCCGACTGTATTTATGACGACGAAGACTATGAAGACGTACAGCACACCTTCTTTTATTGTAATTGGTGACTCACATTTAGAGATAATAGCTCAGATTGGACCAATAAATCCCTAAAATATAGTGGAAAAATTGAGAGCGAACCCAGAGAGCTGGCGAACGATAGAGTCATATGTGAATCAAGTCCTCAATGCGGAGAATTTATGCCTAAAAATGGATGATCCGATAAGGCTAATAAGGAAAGCAGACACCAAGAAAATGCCGTGAAAAATTGGTGGTGTGGACGCAGATTGAAAATCACAAGAGCATGACTTGAAATGCCAACATTAAAGAGACCATCCTCAAAGTAATGCGAAAGCAATTTCAAGAGGGAATAATTCTCGCCGAAGAGGGGTACTAAGTGTTCTACATGTTAATGTTAGGTAGTCGGGCACACAATTCCGACGACGGTCGCTCTGACGGCACATAAAGCAATCCATCTCCTCACCACAAAAAGAAAAAAAAAATGATCGATTTAGTAAATGGTATACTATCTTTATGGAAGAGTGCTTTTCACTCTCTCAACTTCATTCTTGAGACTCATCAAAAGAGCTTTGATAGTTTTCATATTCATCGATATGTTTTTTGGACATGAAATTAAATAGAGTGTATTAACTTTCTGACCGATTGTTTTATTTTTGGGCGCTTTGGGGTTGACTTTCTCCGATTGCTAGTCTTCTCGATAGCTAGCAGTTTTTTAACGGAATACAGTAACATAGTCATATTTTGTGTATACATATCTCATGAAGAAATCCTTATATATGGGAAATGGTCAGATTTATCAACAGGTCGATACTTTTATTCGTATCAGGTATATAAGCCAAATTTGTGTATGTTTAACGTCAAGACGAGATTTTTTAACTAAACTACAGCTAAGAATAGCTACTTACCTAAATACCACCTTTGCCGCCTTCATTTGTTCTGAATGCCCCGCGGATCAAATCAAATATGGCTTTGCGGTATTTAAAACATATATGGTAATTTAGAAGCTGTGCTATGTAATGATCTTCTTCATCATAACGTCTTTCCATTTAGTTAATATTGTAGTATGTGAGATTGCGATACTGCACAGAATACAATCTATAAAAGTTAAATTCTTTTTCTTTATTTATTCCTTACGAACGATGTTATGTCAATTGGGGGCCTGATGGGAGGACGTGTTTATTAATATAATATTAAATGTTTCTCTCTCTCTAACAATAAGAGTAAATTTGAATTATAAATTTAATTCAAAGTGCAAGATTAAATTAGGATGAAAAATTTTTTATCTATTTAAGGCAGTTAAAATAATTGATGTTTAATAGTCTTTATGACAGTAAATAATTTCAAATGGTCAGTGTGCGAAAATGCAACCACAGACATAAGTTTGTTGACCAGTTTAGGATTGAATTGTCTTGGAGGTTGGGTAGCGCTTCAGCAGGTTTGAGTCGGATTAACAGGTACGTATTAGTCACCGCAGCAAAAGTTAAGCACTGACGTGAAATTCGTTGAGAGGTGTGTTTGCCAAGCAAGGAGCTGGCTAGACTTATAATATTTATAAAGACTTTTATGTCTGCTGTATTTAATGAGGACTGCAGAGTTTTGGGTTTAACGTATGGTGCTAAACCGACCGCTTTGCCTTTTAACAAATGGCTCGCAAAAACGAAGACAACGAAATATCTGCACATAATCTATCGGCATGAAAACACTGCTGACGGTTAGCACACTATTGATTGCTTGAATTTATTTAAACCATCCTTTAATATGAATAAAAAATTAAGAATAGGAAGCAGGGTATTTGGAGCTATAAAATTGGACAAGTCCTTCATTTTGAAAGACGACAGTTGTGTCAGCTCTAAGAACAGGTAGATCTTGAGATCTGATAGGAGCTTCCATCTGTTAATCAATACTACCAATATATATTAAAAGAATAGGATACAATTTTAGAAATACAAGTACAAGATAAAGGGGAGTTACGGTGAATTTTTCAATTTTAGTGTACTACGCTTATGAAAAAATATTCGAAACCAAACATTTTTTCTAGAAATTATGGAAACTTATAGGAAAAAGAGACAATTAAGTATTTTGTCTGTAAAACCTCAGCTCTGGTTTCTATAAGAAATTGGTTTTTAGAAAAGTATTTTTTTTAACATTTTGTCGCAGTGTTCATCGGTGAAGATGAAAGATCTATTAAATTATCTAAATTCCATAGGATGGATTTAGTTTTAGGACGATAGATTTATTAAATTATCTAAATTCCACGGGATGGGTTCAGGTTAAAGATGACAGATCTATTAAATTATCTAAATTCCACGGGATAAATTCAGTTTTAGTCAACTTAATTTTTAAGGTTTCTTGCGAGCAACGCGGTAGTAAAACGGCAAAAATCCTGCCACAGCAACCCACCAACCAATCTATGCAAAATCCTAACGTTTTAAAAATCACGAGTGACGATACTAATAGGAAACACTTTACAATATCTTTAGCTGTCATTACTGAGTTCTGAAAAATATTAAAATATGATAAATGCATTGAAAATTAGTAAAAAATGA